TACAAACCACTTTACTGCCGTATCAAGAAGGCCGCTCACACATCCTTTTTCAGCAAGGTAACGCACGTCCCCATATTGCTCTTCGTACTACGGACTTTCTTCAAGAAGCAGGCGTTAATGTTTGCCGTGGTCACCGGATTTAAATTCCATCGAATATGTGTGGGATATGATGGGGAGGAGACAATCCACTTTGGACCATCCGCCTCAGCTAATCCAGTCCGAGTTGCTATATACAGGAGTGTAATTCAACTGAAGGGTCGCTCAACACATTATTTTTTTTCTTATTACTCGGCAATAAAATTTCGTGAGAATGTTATAGTTTCATTCTTGATGTAAGATTACCTCATTGTAAAAAAAACAAGTTGAAGAAATTATTTTTTCTGGGGGTGTAACACTTCTAACGACGTCACCGAGTATACATTTTTTACAAGAGCGTAATAAATACGTAAAGTTTCAAACCTCTAAAAATGGTCTTTTTTGTTTCAGGACATTCAAATAATGACAACATTTATAATGTTCTTGCTACAACATAAGAAAGAATAATATTCTGACAGGGTAATAATATATAAGAACAAATTATCTATATTGCCGCCTTCATCCATTGCAAGCATTTCGAAAATGTTATATTCGTATACAGACTTTATAATTTGAAAATAAAAGAAAAAACCATCAACCACTCCCCATGTTCTCCTGATATGGCACCGCGTGACTATTTTCTGTTCAGTAAACTACATTTGGCCATGAAGGAACAGTGGTATGCCGACGTAGAGGCCATCCAAAGGCGTCGACGACCATTTTGAAGGACATCCCGGTCAATGAGCTAAAATCATCATTCGAAAATCTTTTGGTTCGTGCAAATCGCTGTATTAACCCTGAAGGATACTATTTTGAATAAAATAAATTCGATTTTCCGAAACGAAAAATCTTTGTTCATCTTTTTCTTTGTCCTGTTTACTTTGCGACAGACCTTGTACTATTATGTAAGTGAAACTAGCAGTATTTTTGATTATGATAATAGTAATAATCTTTATTCCATCAGGTTTGCACTCAATCACAGGAACATCCAATAATAAACATCAAGTTCCTGGTGTTTAAAAGTTTATTTAACAAAATACATTTAGATCATAAATACGGTAGGTACCTGTACCTACCAAATAAGGCCACGCTAACGTTTGGATATCTGTAACTTCATAAATATTTGCGATAGGATCATGAAATCTTAAAGATATCATTATAGGTATGTTCAGTGAAAAAGCTGTATCGGAGAGCTCCGAAAACTTTTGGTTTCATATAAAAAATATATTTTTTTGGAACAATGCCGTTGGCGTTATTAGAATTCAAGTAAAAAAATCAACTTGTTTTTGTCTTCGCATTGAAGACAAACAAATTATCGCCTCTAAACAAGCCTACACTTTCCTCATGGACGTATCTCAAGCATATTACATACAGACGCATGTCACGTATTTCATTCTTATCACATATGAAACAGTCCCAGTTTTCGTCTTTATTCATCTGGGTACCATTTAACATGGCCTTATTACGCACATCTAACCTTAAATACACAATTTACAAAATTGAAAACATTCAAAACCTGGAAACAGCAAATAACTACCTGCATATGCCTTAGAGACTTAACTGTTTGAATTAACAAGAGATTCCGCAAAAAGAAGCCCACAACATGCAAAAACGGAGACAAATTCAAAGCAGATATTTTATAAGGTACATGTTGAAAACCGACGCTGTGCTACTGCGCCATCTACCGACGCGGTGCTACTGCGCCATCTACCGACGCTGTGCTACTGCGCCATCTACCGACCCTTCATATCTGCTGAATGTGTGGCTGCTAACTGCTTTCAAAAATTTGTAGAACTGCAGGAATCTTCAATTTTCAATGTTGATAGTTTCTGAGAAATCGAAGCATGGCCATATTAGGTCCTTGGCCTTATTTGCTACAGGTACCTTGATATAAATAAAAAATAATATAATAATAATGAATAATCATATAAATGAAAAATATTATTACATGAAATAAAAACATAAACATGAATGACAATACAGTTGAAAAAAAAACATTACAACTCCATTTGCAAACATAAACATTACTGGTTAAGCACCGTATATGTTTGCTTAAAACTACTTAACATCAGTCGAATAGTATCATTATTCATTGCATTCTGGTAAATTGGCGACCAAACCAGGGCAGCATATTTCAGTTTACTCCTAATACAAGATGTATAATCGGTGGCCCAAAAGTCAGGTCAAACCTATTCCCAGTCACGCTTAACCAACCAGACATCCATTCCTGCCACAAAACTAAACAGAAAATAAAATAAATAATAAAAAAATAACAAGTTATGACAGGTGTTCAAAATGGGAGCCTTCGACATTGATACTCTGCTGTAGACATATAGGAATGGATTCGATAACACGTTGCAGCTGAATGGGGTTCGTCTCAATATCCTCAAAAGGGTCGTCAATGTACCGCCGGAGATCAGCCAGAGTGTAGGGTCTGCGAGCAAATACGATATCTTTGACTGTGCCCCAGAAATAAAAGCCCATACATGTTCAATCTTGCGATCGGGGGCGGGGCGGATAGGATAATCGATGTGCCCCCGTCGACCAATGACACGCCCGTCGAACTCGTGGTTCAGGTAGTCTCGAACCACAATGAGCTGCTCCATCGTTTTGGTAGTACAGGTCGCCAAAAGTGTCGCAGAAAGTTGTCAGACCAGGTAATAAGTAATCCTGCAGCATGTTGAGGTAAGTTGCCGTAATAGACACAATTATGATGGTTGCCAAATCCGTTGAATTTAATTTCCGCTTCATCGCTTCACAAAATGTTTCCGAAAATGTCTGGGTCGTGCTCGTCTTCGTTCAATATTAATTCGCAGAACTGTAATCGTCTATCGGGCTCGTCCTTGAGTACACCGTTTACTAAACGCGGATGATAACATTTAAATTTTATCCGGTTGACTATGCGTTGGTATGACGTACGCGATATCGACCTCGGGAGCTGTAATGGACCCTTCCGCGAAGATGTTGATGGTGCTTCCACCAACAGTGTAGCTATAGTTTATTCACTGAGTCAAAGCAGTTACTTCACAACGTCAAATGACAGTGATGCACATGGTTGCCACATTAATTAAAACTACTACCTCATAGGACGTTTTACAAAATCTACTTTGTCTTCGATGCCTTACCGCAACCAACATTACAGAGCGTATGTTTTGTAAGCACTAGAGTTAGTATAAATTCTATTTACTACCTAATACCTCTCTTACGGACTGTAAAGGCAATATAATGGAGCTCCATGATATCGTTCGGTCTCAAAATATTTCGTCAAAGAAATTACGAATTCTTTTGTTTGTCGACCCAAAAGTTTAGGAATTTTGGCAAATGCTTAAAGGGACAGCTCAAGGTTTTGATAAAAACTGTTTTTATAAAAAACAATGCAAATATTGAGGTAAAAATAACGGAAATAAATCACAAATAAACAACAGCCGTTGGCGTAATTACCTGGCAAGCTTTGCGACAATGTAACAACACTGAAAACTGTTTCCAACATAAATGTACGTGGGAAATTCAAAGGTTGGCATTTAAATTTACTAAATATGACGTAACTCTGCTTGGTTCAGTGAATAAACTATACCTGTCAACGATTCTCCGGCGTCTACTAAACGCGGTCGTCCTGAGCGCGGAGCGTCCTTTACGGTACCAATACGTTCAAATTTCTTCACGGTTCTATTCATATACCGAGTTGGACACGTACTGTTAACATTATTTTCTCACAACTGTAACAAACTTTGTCACCCACCACGGTAGTACTGTTTCACCATGAACATACATTCCTCTAAATCGCACATGTTGTAAGCACTGAACAAGCGCGTTGACACTTGCGGTTCGCACAATGAAATCTCACTATCTCGTTCGCTTTTACAAACGTTTAAAGCACCTGCTAACACAACTACGCTCTACTTGCATTCATTTAGCTGATTACCGCTGGTCAGTTCTTGTGAACATTGCGTTCGTCTGTCCCACATCTCGATCCGTCCTCCGTAGCCGTTTCGCTTGCTCGCAGGGAGGGGGGGGGGCGATCACCGCATACTTCTTGTAAAACGCGTTCTTGCGTTGCTAAGCAGTGTTTTAGTGTGACTCAATAAGAGCGCCGGCACGGGTATCACGTATCTTGAAAAGTGACATTATGCCGATTTTTTTTGACATTATGCTGGTTTTGTTTGACATTATGTAGGTTATTCTACAAGATGTTAACTTAGCAGTTAGATGTACGTGTTGCCTAAACGTCATGAGGCTTGTTAGCAATCTTTGGCTTTGATGTGATGTAAAATCTGCTTCTGAGATTGCATTACCGGAGGTCAAAGCTGTAAGTTGTATGTGTTGATGATAATTACATTGGGTCCTTGTCTCAAATACACTCAATTAAGATTCTAAGCTAGAAATTAGTTGCGCATCCACTTTTTCTTATCTATTCTGGAAATTACATATACAAATTTGCTGAATTTCAAAAATGAGAGAGATAAGAAATAATTATAATCACGGTACACTGTCGAATTACAAGCCTTATAAATGCTAACTGTAATTACACACAACGCGGGCGCGGTGATGATTTCCCGTAATTCTCCTCAGTTTTTTGTAATTTATAACTTGCTCTCTTCAGAAAGCACGACATATAAATAACCCGTCATATTCAGTAATGATTTTCTCACACTGCAAATATCACTGATTCTATACACATGCAGACCAATACACATAATCATCCAAATGCAATCTGGCTATTCAACCAACTTTCTTCTCAGAGATAAAAACTACAGACCCGGATCAATCAGCCTCACAAAACTATGCTGCCAATAATGCGTAGTTTAGTTGAGTTATTCCTCCATAGATGGACGTTCACAACGATCCTAGTGAGCAAAAGTGGAATGACTGTTTGCGCCCTAAAAACTACCTAGTCTGAAAGTTGACATCTTATAGGTTTTTTTTTTGACGTTTTATAGGTTTTTTACTTGATACCCGTGCCGATTTGAATGCGTGGTGTGGATATGACAGCTGTCATCAAGTAAAGACCATCCCATTTGCCCGAAAAAAATGGCGGCAAATTCAAATCCGGGACTCTTGTTGAGACACCCTTTATGACTGTTCACAGTACGTTGCGCTTTCCTCTTACCAAAATAGTATCCGACTTTTGGACCACCCTGTATATTCTGTTAAGGCTGTACACATCAGCAAAACCCGACCAGTTTCTCACACAGTGTCCTAATATTTTATTTGCTGAAGAGACCATTGCACTTAAGAGACTATAGGAAACTTCCTAGTTGGCGATTTTTACATAGATCTAACAGTCAATTTATTTAATGTTAACAGCAAGCAAACACCAGAAGAATTTTGGGCCAATGGCCAACTTATATTTTGTGGTACTTGAGATCTCAGCCTAGAAGAAGGGGGGGGGGGATTCTAGACATGTATTTGGAAAAATAATAAAACATTTACAATAAAATAAAATATTTAATGAATTCCTACAAACTCATGTCACTGTCAGTTCTTTTCCTCTTATTCCTGATCCTTTCTACAACCTGGGGATACTTTGCTTCAATATCTACAGACTTTTCCAATGGAACTAACTGAACTATTGGTAATGGTCGTTTCACGCAATCGAAAGCCATATGAATCCGAACTTTCCGTAAACTGGTGCAGCGCTTTTTACAAAATATGCATTTTAGATGTGTCCTCCTATGCAACTTCGTTTCTTTCTTCGAGTACAAAGTAACATCACAATGGGAACAAATATGAACATGCTCTACTTTATCTTTGACTGATAACAGGCCAGAAGATCTTGGTGATAAGACCGAAAATGAGTTTAAGCTAGGTATAGGTTTTTTTACGCCGGTTGGTGTTTTTAGTAACGTATCCTCCTCCAATTTTTGATAAGATTCATCCGATTCAAGAATTTTATTTTCCAATAGATGACTTTCTTCACACTTTAATATAGGTTTTTCTTCAGCAATATTCATGTTAGCTGCTTTTGATAATGTGTTGTTATCTTCTACAAAGTCCGATATAATAACCTTCAATTCTGTCTTATCAGGTAATTTGCATCCTGTCAAACTGTTTTCAACAAATGTAGCAAGTTGTGCAACACACTTCTCTGGTAACATATTGTCATCTTTCAAACTCCTTTTTATACTAAAACTATTTCTTATTTCACACTTCGACATATTTTTATAGTCATCCGTTTGAGAGGAAATGTCTCTAGTTTTGATAGTATCATTCTCATTATCAGTTTGGCAAGCTTTACTATAATTGTCACTATATGTCTGAATATTCTTATCCCTCATTTGTTTTTTATGTCGCACAGCTAGTATTTCACACTGGCTGTAGGTGTTTACTGTGTTTAACGGAGACGAGTCAGTTTGTACAAAGGTATGTTTGACCTCATTTGGCTCACACTGACTGTAAGCATTTACCATATTTAGTGATGATACATCAGTTTGTATCGAGCAGTGTTTGATTTTTTCTTCATTTTCACTATTTGTACTTGAACCACGTTTTGCAAGCAACCAAGGAACAAAGGTCTGTTTCAGTTCGTCAAGTTCAGGTAGCTTATCTTTGTCCTCTTGGGCTATTTTTCCCATATTGCCATTATTTTTGATCAGTGTGGTCTGAAACAATAGATTTATGGTAAATAATAAACGGTCCAGAGTGAGATGTACATGTTGTCCTAGAAGTCGACGTTAACCCAGAAATGGAGATATGCCAAGTCATAATAATTATTGTGGCTAGAGAATCGATCGATTATAAAGGCAGCAGTGCACAAAATTTGTCATTGCAACATACAACCACGTAATTTGGCTTTACAGTCCTGTTCGTACAGCAGTCTCCAACTTGTCAGTGACCGTGTCCAAGATCCTGCCACAATAATTCTGTTCGCTCTACTACGCTATATACACGAAATTTACACGGCCGAATCCCAGACACAGTCACCAACCACTGTACGAATAAACCTTAAATGTGCGTTATTTTATGAGTTTTTATGTGTTGTGCGAGTATACCTCTCTTGCCCAAGAGAAATAGAGAAGCAACAAGAAAAATCTAAATGTTGCAAAAGTAATGAGAAACACCTGCTTTTCAACTTAATTGCATGAGGCAGTTATACTTCATCACTTCATCACCAAGCAGTTTTCCCCAATGAAGTCCAGAAGGCCCCTATCATCATATCAATTTGGCGCCACCATTGAATGGCTATTTTTCTGCCCCAAATTAGGCCTCATAACACATTTCTTGATGATTATATTTGGATTCAGAATCTCAACTAATAATCTCAGTGTACAATTTCAGTTACTTCTGAGCATGGAAAACGATAACGGAAATTTTGAATGACAAGGGCCTAGTTATAGTTAAGACATCTAATGGGAAAATCCTCAAAAATTGTTATACATATGTGATTAGGAAGAAGTCACGTTTTATGGGTAAATTAATAGTGAGGATTTCTAATCCAATATCATTTTGAAACTTGAACTGATGGAAAGTACTTGGTTATTCCTAATAGTAGGACCCAAGACAGTTCAAAATTTGGAAAACCAAATTGTAATTTTGCATAGTGTTTTTCCTTTGTAAAATAAAAGCAATATTCAAAAATATTTCATTATTCCATCATAAGCAAAATATGCTACGCTCTTGATAAGGTTTATTGCTAAATATATAAAATACCAAAATATGGTTCAGCAGTTAATACTGTTTCCTTGATGTACCCAGCATTATAAAAAAAACTGAACTTTTCAAAGTACAGAAACAATAAAGTTACAGGATGTATACTATGATTCAACAATAATAACTAAATATTACCTTAAATTTTTTATCATTCTCCAAAGAGGATATCTTGAAAACATAGCAATTGTAGACTTGTATAATACAGGTAAGGCAAATGTACTGTCGAGGATCATTCTTCTCGAACTGTAATTTAAGCAATTAAGCACCTCTGATGAAGTTAAAGCAGTTCAACTTACTTCTATTCCTATTGTATATTGGGTAATAGTCTGTATATATTTTCGAATTAATTTGCTCTTCCCACCAAAAAGGCAAATCAAAGAATGTGTTGAAGAGCATAATTTACAAAGTAGAGTGTTCATAATATTCACAATATTAAAAAAGGCAAAAGGAAATAAATAAATAAATAAGTTTTAAAAAAACATAGCCTCAAGCACAAAAGCTTGCTAACTGCAAGTCCGTAAACATAACCTGTTTGGGCTTTGGTATTTTGGATCAATCCAAGAAGACTAGAAGTAAGAGTGTAAACTGGTTGAGTGGTGGCTTGGCGGCGGGGTGAAGCGAAAAGTGTGGAGAGTGTAGGCTTAAGCCGCGTATAAACCGAGATTCCAACCCAAGCCAAGGTACATGTGATTACAGATTTGGAGGTGTTCGAATCGGTGTGTACGAGGGATGTCTTTTAAGTTTTGCATATGGAAATAAAACAACACGGTAGGTAGTTTTAAATGACTTTATTGTTTTGCGAAGTATTCTCCACGAAGATTAATACACATCTGATGCGCTCGAACCAATTTTCGAAGCACTTATTCCACTCGTTTGCTGGCAGATCCAAAACGGCATTTTTGAATGCGTCAACTGCTTCTTCTGGTGACTGGAACCTTTGACCACGCAGTCTGTTTTTAATTTTCGGGAAAGTAATGAAATCGTTAGAACTTAGATTGGGACTGTATAGAGGGTGGTCCAATAATTCCACGTTTTCTTCCGTTAAATACTGCCTTGTTTTTTGGGCTGTGTGCGAGCTTGCATTCTCTTGGTGGAGGATGATTCTTCTTTCGGGGTTGATTTTTCGAAGCTCGGTGATGACTTTTGGCGAACAAATGGTGGTATACCAATTCGCAGTAACAGTTCTTTGCTCATTAAGAGGAATTTTTGCAATATGACCCGCTTTTGACACAAATGTCGCGACCATCTTTTTCGAAACACTTCGAGAACGGATGACTTTTATTGCCTTTTCTTCACCTTGGAACACCCAAACAGCCGACTGTCGTTTATTTTCTGGTTCATAACAGTAAATCCACGATTCATCACCACTAACAATGCTGTACACATTTTCTGAGTTTCCGGAATTGAAACGGTCAAGCGTTTTTTGATGCCAATTAACCCTGGCTGCTTTCTGCTCTTCAGTCAACAGGTGGGGTATCCAATGCGAAACTAATTTTCTTACTCCTAATTCTTCATGTAAAATTTTTTGAATTGAGGTCTTTGAGATCTTCAAGGACGCCTCAATCTCGCGATATGTCACATGTCTATCTTCAATGATGAGTTTGCGCACAGCATCGACGTTTTCCTGGGTGACTGCCGTTTTTGGTGCACCCACCCTGGGATCGTCGCTAAGACTCACCCGTCCACGTTTGAATTCTTCATACCAACGGGAAATTGTCGACTGATGTTGCGCTTCGTCGCCGAAAACAGACAGTAACTCAGCAAGGCATTCTTGTTGCGATAATTGTCTCTGAAAGTTGTAATAAATTATGGCGCGAAAATGTTCTCGATTGAGTTCCATTTTTCTAATGACTTGGTGACACTTAAAAGTTCACTGTAGTGATAACACTGCACGTATTGTTGTGAAACTTTGAAATTAAGTTTACTAAAGAGTGAGGTTAAGATTCAGTACTGATGTTCGATCTGCGCGGCCTCCTCTGTTTCTATATGCAAAACTTAAAAGATATCCCTCGTACGGCGCGATCCAACATAAGCCAGTGGTTTCCAAGGTTAGCGTTGGCATTGGATTGCGTTCGCCCCTTGATCGGTACATCAAAGACAGGTTTGATTTGGTCTGGACAGGATTTGTTCATTTGTTGCGCTTCTAGTATTTAGTCGTTTGTCTGCTGTCGATGAGAGGAGACTCGTCGCACCGGACTTAACCCAACGCGGTCCAACTCAAAATTAAATTTAGGTATAGATGATGAGCGCATTCCAATACCTTCCAACGTAACATGTCAAGGGCGTTGCCAGCCAATGGCCCGGGGGGGGGGGGGGCAACTGCATACGATGATTGAGAAATGTATAAATTGTAGGTAAAGTCAATAGCACATCAAATTTGACACGTCTACTATGGTGATTGTAATAACCACAGTATAAAGTCCAAGGTGTGAATTTCCACGAGCTCTTGGCTGTACAGCCAATGGAACTTGAATTAAATTATGTTTTTATATTTATTCTAATTTAGATTTTAAAATACCTGGAATGGAAATGGTGATTTCGTTCGAGTTTCGACGTGCTGGAATGATCGTACTTATGAATTTTATTGATTTGCATTTCACTACATTTTCCGGGGTCTCTAGGGGGGACTGCTCCTTGCTGGCGACCCCCTTGTCACATGTGCTTGCATTCGTTTGCTCGGCGTTGGATTTTCGGTCTGTACGCGGCTTTAGGCGAATGTATATGTACAGTGTGATCCATTAGTGTTCAACTGATCATTATGGAATGTGATGTTGGCCGCGTAGTCAGGACGTCAGCTTTTATTGATGTATTAGGTTACGGAATCAGTAAAAAAAGTGTTTTGTGGTAAAAATACTAATCGTACGAATCACAAGATCATGACGTTTGCTTTAGGAAGTTTACTCTCCTGTTTCTAGTCTTCTTGTAAAAAACGCCCAATCCAGCGCCAGCTTATGAGCTTACGGTGGCGCTCAAAGCCCACAACAAATATCAAGTAAGAAATGGAAATGGGGTGTTCATTTTCCAAACGACTCATTCTACCATAATCAGGAATTTTATGTATATAGCAGATCTCTACAGCGATTATATTGCGCCATCTATCCCTTATAGTGTGAAACTGCTGTGATCATGAAAAAGAAAACTGTCATAAAGGTGAAAATTGTCAAATGTCACGTTGACAATTTTTGAGGAAAAAGGAGAAAACAGGGAAAGGAGACAGCTGTTTTCGTTTTCATCCTGTGACGTTTCTCAATGGTGCTTTCAGATTTCCACACGTAAAATTTCAGTCAGTGATAAATATGCTGCTAATCTTATCTCAAGGACCAATCATCTTTCGTCACAACAATTAAATCCTGCATTAACAAAATAAGGGATCGCCTACTCGTATTGTGAAATATGACAATGGGAGATGAAACACCAGTGACCACTCTGATACTTCCTGTTCTTATACGCCCCATTTTATGCGAGGTATGCTCTTAAAATCAGTCTCTTAGTTCAGTCTCAACATGTTCCATTTCAGTTGGAGAAACAGGATGTGTCAGCATCACAGACTCTACGGTCAGCCCTCACCAAAGCTGAGGCATCACATCCTGGACTCACTTATGATCTTGTAGTTGGGATACTTCGCAAGGGGGATCTGACTGTTGATATGAATGAGAGCATACTACGCTTACAGGGAGCTGTTTCAGACACTGATGGTAAAGTACATTAATTAACTTACTTCACAAAGAAGCCCAATCATTTGCTGTGTTTGAACATTCACATACTCACACACCATCAAACCTCCCTCATGATTATTCATAAGATTTCATATATTTACTATTTTGCAATAATGGAAAAGGGAATCCATAAATTCTACAATAGTCTGAGAGTAGGAAACACTGGCAGAGACACTAGTCTTTGATCCTTTGCTTTTGATCTTACAAGTTATATAGACAAAATTGTATGTGCACCTTGTTCTTGTTTATTGAAAAAGAACTTTAAATCATTATATATGTTCTACTTAAGGAATTAACCAATAAGATTTTGTTGTTATTCTGGTTACTGTTGGAAAGTGATTATACATTTCAATTTTAGTTAAAAAACACGTGTTCTAATGACCTTTATGGCAGAACTTACTATGTTATGCTAGAACTTATTATTTCACATCTTTGGTGAAAAGCTTTAATTTGGGGAAGGGTTACATTTAGAGTCAAATCAATAGAAAATGCATTGCTATACATTAATGAATTAGTATCTTGTTATGTAATAAAGAATCCCCTTTTGACTCTGTTTCAGCAGTTGAGTATCGTTTAAGCCGATCTGAAGATGCCTTCCAGGAGTTAAACAGAAAATCAGCTGCTTTGAAGAGAATCCTCAGTAGAATACCTGATGAAATCACAGACAGAAAGCCATTTTTGGAGACTATAAAGTATGCATGTTTTTCTTTTTTTATTGGCAAATTTTTCCACAAAACTGATATTACAAACTTACGCCTTAAAAGCATTTGTGCAGATGACAGATGAAAAATCATGTTATTGACACAATTTATTTTTGCAGAGAAATTGCTAGTGCTATAAAGAAATTGCTAGATGCAGTGAATGAAGTAAGTGCATTCATTCCTGGATCCACTGGGAAACAGTCTTTGGAGCAGAGAAAAAGGGAGTTTGTGAAGTATTCCAAGAGGTTCAGTAACACTCTCAAGGAATACTTCAAAGAAGGACAGTAAGTATAATTCTGAAATTTACTCAAATTGCTGCAATTATGTATGTTAGATATAAAAACAGGATGGATTTCAAATTTTTCATTTTTATTTTTGAACCTATAAGCACAGATCACATACAGATGCAATAGGCACAAATTAAAAATGTAGTTATGTTCACGAATCAATCACTGTTTTCACTGTTTTTGGCAGGAAACACTAAAACTTCTGCTATCACTTTCATACAACCATCTTCCTCACAGATCCATATGCAATCTGCCTGTGCGCCAATGTTTGTTCTTGCAAGCTCAGGCATATTTTCTTAGTTTCAATGTGTGTGTATTCCTAATATATAGTTTTATTCGAACCCGTCACAGAACCTTTCTAAAACGGTGACAGTTTAGGGAAAACTGTTCCAACAGTATTGGGTATCGTAACGAGACGGTTCCGTATTTTGTTGTTAGGATCATTCCAGAACAGTTTTATTACAGTGAACTCTGTACGTGCATTGAAAGGGGAATAAAGGAACGGACCTGTGCAGTAGAGCTGTTATCAGGTGATTGCCTCTAACCTCCAACCAAACTGCAACCATGCTCTGATAGCCTGTGTATTTTCTATTCAAAGATAATTTATAGACTTTCTAGATACAAACATTATTCCAAAATCGTTCCAACCGCCCAGAAGCAGTTCTGGAATCAACACTGTCGGCGCATGCATATAAATGCGTACCAAATGATAACCGGATGGTTCTGAGCCGCTTTCCAGTGCCTCATTTGTGTTACTCGGAGCAACTTGGCGCTGCCCACCACCTGTCAATACTGTTCCATCGTTCTAGAGTGTCATGCACCTGAGGTCCTCGTTTTTTAAATCCCCTGCCCCCTCATGCAGCAGCTTTTTACGGTGTTATAAGTTCCGAAATAGTGGGGATAACGAAAATGACATTGTGTCAAGATGGTTATGTTTTTTCATGGTTTTTTTACATTAAACTCACATTAAAGCAACACCAGACAATGGAGGATGGTAAAAAACTGATAGTTATGTCACAGAGTCACAACAACGTTCATTTGAGATGTTCCTCAACAATAAAGATGACAAGAGAGCGCAAGAAGGCAAGTTGATAGCAGCTATATAATTTTGAACGTCTACACTAAAATATGAATTCAACACAGTTAACCAGAAGCATCATCAGGCATCAATGGATAGTCTGACAATGCTTCTAAAAATACAGGCAAAATGTGTTTAAATTTTCAATGTTAGTTTGGACGTGTGATACATATTATCAAGTTTAAAGCAAAACAACAAAAAACTGGTTAGGTTTTTATCGTCGCGTTCGCGTGCAGTTCGGGAGCGTCACACTCCGACTCCAGGTGCATACAACTGTCAATTCAAAAGCACTGGAGTACCAAGACTCGAAAGTTGGAACAAATCTTATGTCACTGTCAGTGTGACAACCGATTTGACATGGACGAACCATTTTGAGTTTACCTTTTATAGATCTTCCTAATATAAAACATAGCAGTACTTGAAAGTACAACTAACAGATCTCATAAATTTCATTCATTGCCAAAATGATTGCAGTATTCTGTAACGGCAGTCACATTTAAGTTCAATTTGCTTACTTATTTCATATGGACTGATGGCGTACCCGCTAAAAATCGTGAAAAGAACTATGCCATTTTAATTATATTATCATGCATTAAATAATAAATAGACTTACCTTACCTTTGATGATTTCTTGAGAATAGAACAGTCCAAAAATACACCAGAAACGTTTTTTAATATGTGACCTACCTTCTCAAAATTATTGTTTGAATGTCTCACAGTAACAGTGACGGAAATCTTATAAAATGTAACGTAGCAGAGCTGCTTTCCACCACGGTATCAGCTGCTACAAAAAAACTAGGGCTAAGAAGCACTTTTTTCCACATGACCTCACTCTATTATTAAAGGCCCAGATAAGACCTAGTCTGATTTTTGATTGGCTGTCACCTCTGGCAGCACTCTGTGCTTTAAGACTATGCTGACCATCTGTTTTTTTTGCAGTGCCAATTCAGTATTTGTTAGTGCCCTATACTTAATTCATCAGACTAACATGATAATCACAACTGTGAAGAATAAGTGTGAATAGATGTTAACAAACTGTATTCCAGACTAGAGAGGAAAAACTAATATTTGGTTCAAGTAAGGATGTACCCTGAGTTGATTACTTTCTTTTGGTTAAGGTTAGAATATTATGAATACTAAGAGATGTAATATATGTTATGAAATATACTATGTTGTTACAAGACTATTTGGTGTTGATTGTAAAAAGATAGTTTTAGGAAATTTTGTTTTTTTATTGACACCTTGACGGTACCAGTCCCTTCATTCGCGCCTCTCGTGACAAAATGGAAGTCTCACGTCAAAAATATTGTGAATTACGTTATAGCTCGCAAAATTTGCGTGATAGCGCGTAACAAAAGTATATAATACAAGGAAATAAAAAATAGCCCAGGCTACAGAGAAAAAAATAGGTATTTCGTGTAAAAAAGTTTAACAAATATCTGAAAGTTTTAAATGACAAATACATAAAAACAAAACAATGGGAAAAGCTAAAAATTCAGTATTTTGCAAGCATAATTTTCAAATTAAATTTTATCAATAATCGGTAAACTGTAGATTTTAGAACATAAAAAGACCTTAAATTTTATTTTTTACGAATTAAAATCGATAAACAATTAAGCTAAATACGGGGCCTTTTAGCAATATTGAATAAATGTTTATAACTATTGCAATAAGAATTGTTAGTGGCTAGACATTTGAGAGTATGAGCGCATCATTGCTGTTAGTATGTGTGCTAAATTTCAGCCGGATCCGTTTAATAGTGTATGTAAAAAGCTAATTGTTTATCCCAGAAACGAATTATTCAAACAACTGTTCTTGCCCAAGATATGGCCCTAGAACATTTTACAAAAGTGAAATGGATTCTTGAAGGTTTCAACGTCGAGAATTTATGCAAAAAATTAATTATTTATGTCAAAATTGTTGTTAAAAATGATGTTAAAAAATAGCCATTCTTGTAGTTATAAACATTTACAATAACTTCTTTATTTTTCAATATAATTTATTTTAACAAGTAGATCTTGATTGGTGATTAAAAAACGCATATTTTAAAAAACCTTCTACGACCAAGATACATTTTTTTTAAATATACATATCTTCTCTGTCTATAAAATTTTGACATATTTTAATCAAGGATCTTAAAATTATGATCCCAATTATAATGTTACTATTAGTTATTTAATTTGGGATAACTCGTCGAAATAATGACATCTGGCACATTTTCATTTTCCTGGAAAATCAGGAACTCCCGGAAAACTTAACACGTTGTATACTTCAAAATTAAATTACTATGAGTTAATAATAAATTAACAATAAATCATTAACTTTTACTCTCACTCTAATAAAATAATTTATATTTTACAATAGAATTGGTTAAACAATTCATAACTGGTATACTCTTAATAAAATACACTCTAATAAATTGTAAAAAATATTGATTCAATGGCTATTTTTTTAACAACACAAGGTGTATGTATGTGCTTCCTTAAAACACTATAAGTGTAGACTGTTTTAAGAATATCATGTTTAAATAACAGGATTGTTGAGGTCCCGTATTTAATCTGTACGAGCCTGACGGAGACAGAAACAATATGTTAAAGCGAGAGCGAAGTGTTCACAGACTCGTTCTTGGTATCGAATACGCTTCATTCATGCTCTCGCTCTAACATACGAGTTTATGTCTCTATCACGCTCGTACATAATGGATACGGGACATTAATGATTCTATACCGATCCTGTATAGTATATGATATTTACTGCGTTAAAAGTGTATGTCTTCATGGCCATAGAAAAAACTATAATTCTAGAATATTACAAATACATCATGTTCAGCTTTTGATAAAACTATTCTGTATCAATCAATGTCGTATAGTGTTTTCATCAACAACAATTTTCGGAGGCTTATTTACATTGAAGTAAAACAACATTGCCGAAAAACTTGTGATTGAGCACATAACTACTATATAAAACATATACCTGAACCAATAATCGTTCTCGATCGTTTCTACTTCTCCTAAATACCAGCACAGACACATCGCGAAGTTTTCTACAAATACCAACACAAAAAAACCGTAATAAATAAATGTCGCTTTCTTAAACTTAATTTTGAACTCGATGATACAAAAAATATAGACTAATCCTAGAAATATGAAAAACATCGCTTTGGCTCTCTTGACTTCGTTGGTTCTTATGTCATACGACAGAAACACAAGTACCAAAGCAAAATGTGCGGATATTAACCACACTGCTGCTGTTTTGAAAAAGTAAGCGAACGCGGATATGGCCAATACTCTGGCCAGAAGGAAAGCAAACCACCAAAGGAAAGCTACTAGTCTTCCAGCCATATCATCATCTGCTAAGCCTTTTATGTAGACTACCCTGGAAATGTTGAAATCTGGCTCTGTGGTCGATTCTCGTAAAAGTAACCTTTCTGGGCCGTCTTTGATAGATGTTTCTCTTAGTTGTCTTGGAATACGCTTATTGGCTGAAATGAAAAATTCGTAGGGCGATCAAATAAATGCAGTGTTACAAAATTTTATCAGAAAAATTTAGTATTATGATTATTACTTTTATAATAACTTATAAAGAGGTATCAGTATCATTATGTATTTGATAGATAAACTCGAAAATTACAAATTGCCAGTGGTCTATACCCTATATCACGAGTATCCAGCACTCTTTGACGTCTACTGAGGTGAACAGCTGATCAGCAAGTGACATTTTTGTGTTTGTCTGCAACTTTGGCAATGATGAATCCGGTATAAATCTGTATAAATGTTTGTGGGGTTTTGTTTGCAAATGAGCTTTTCTAAATAAACGAGCTGTTAGCAAGTACGAAATGAATCTGTAGGGTACAAAAAACAAAATACAATATGGCTCTGACTACCTGGCATTAACAGATCCGTCAGAATTATGTGTTCTGTACCGATATGGGGAATTTTGAGATATTATTAGATAATCAGTTGTCATTCTATCGTGATGGATACTCTTGAAATAGGGTATATGAGACCGCGTCAAGTTAAAGGTTAACAAGTTAATCAGTATGTTTATCATATACTAACCAAGCTGATACTTCTTCAACGAACCTAACGCAAGACTTCGCTAAACGTGGAAACACGGAATTTCCGGAATTTGACGTGCGAACTATCCTTTTAGGAAAGGCTAATTAGATAACTGGCAACCATATCGAAAAAATTTGAATTTCAAGTAGACATTTTTCTTTTGTAACTAAATTAAATCGCTTACAGATTTTGAGAATAAGTTGTGATTTCATAAAGAAAGTGTGATATATTATGAAAACAGAAGATACTCCCAAAACTAGTTATTACATAACTATTTAACTTTTATTAACTATTTATTTTAACTATTTTGATAATATATAGTAGAAAACAACAACTTTATCACTCCCTAATCAAATTTGCAGCATAAAAATAACACATGTTGCAATTACAGCATATCCTATTTTCATTTCAACGCATAGGTGGCTGTGAAAAATAAAAGCCATGACAATTGTTTTTATTAATCACAGCTGTCAGAATACGTTTAAAATAGTTTTGGGTAGTTAAGGTTTTCAAAATGGGCAGAGGAAAGGTTATTAGTGAGAAAATTCGGTTACTGATAATTAATTTTTTTAATTCTGGGAAATCAAACTCAGAAACTACAACTTTGTTAGTCTTATCGCGGTACAGTGTGAGAAATATTGTTAGAAGATATAACGTAACTGGTTCAGTTAATATTAAGCCACGATATGTGAAAAAAAGTAATATCACAAATGCCGACCGAAGAGCATTAAGAAGAATAATCGTGAAAAACAGGCGTGCCAATTATTTACAATTAAGTGCTCTGTGGAGTGACGCTGTTGGAAGGAGAATTTCGAGGTTCACAACTCATGGAGGCCCACAAACTGGGATTTAGCACTTGCAAGGTAAGTTTGCTTATAAAAAAAAGTGAGATAAAAACTCTAAAGTTGCACAACTTCTTTATACCTGTAGGCCAAAGAAAAGCCAGTATTAACTCCACTGAAAAAGAAAAATCGGCTTAGATGGGCTAAAGAACATAGATAATGGACACCTCAACAATGGTGTGCAATACAATGGAGTGATGAGACCCGATTCGAAGTTTGTGTTGGTGACAGTCGCAGTAGTTATTCGCCAAAAAAATGAAACATTCCATGTTGACTGTCTGAAGAGAAAAGTGAAATTTCCAGCATCCATTATGGTCTGGGGCAGTATGTCATCAAAAGGAGTAGGAAAACATTTTATTGATGGAAATGTGGATACAAACAAATATTTGTCAATTTTAGAAGAATCGCTTTTACCAGTGATGGAAGAATGTTTGACATCCGGCCAAGATTTTGTGTTTCAGCAAGATGGTGCAGCGTGCCATACCTCAAAAAAGGCTATGAAATGGATGGAAAAAAATAATGTACCACTTTTGAAATGGGTTTGTAGCAGTCCAGATCTGTCACCTATTGAAACTTTGTGGCACGAGATGAAAAAGGTTCTACGACAACATCCTGCTCGTACAATCACCGAACTGAGACAAAAGTTTCAAGAAATATGGGATTGTTTGACACCAAATTTTTGCCAAAACTTGGTTAACACTATGCCCCAAAGAATTTCAGTCGTAATAAAAAATAAAGGTGATGTTACCCAATGGTAATATTTCAATTGTTGCTTTGTTAACTTCGCGTCATTTATTCGCACATTGTTTATTTGTTCAGATGTTCTATTAGTTATAGGTCTAAGTGATTTCAAATATGTATTTTTTACGACTGGAGTGTATCTAAAATGTTTTTGAGAAAATAAATTGTTTTAGAAGTAAATAGTTTCGTCATGTTTAGTTTATAAAGGCATATTTTGGTAAAAATCTTGAAGTGGACCAACTGAAGTGGGAAGGGGCTCGTAGTTGCCAATTATCTAGGTACCCTGGCCTTAAATTGTTTTCATTCCAGAACGCACTAAAGGGTCTAAAATTGAAAAATTCTATTACTTTGTAATCCATCTCCTTCGTCAAAATCTTCCAAACTTCTTTCAATGGTTTGAATTTCGTCGTCAAAACTAGTTTCAAGCAATGTATTTCGTTTGCAGCCATCTTCAGATATTGCAGGTTCTAAATAGATATCACTACTTCGTCTTCTTTCTGTAAGTCTACTTGGTTCTATATCGAATGTTTCCTCCAGTTGACTGGTTTTTCTTCTTTCGATTATCGATCTAAAATATTTTGGTACTTCATCAAAAATATTACAAGCTGTACAATGTTGCGTACAAAATACTGTGCCGCCCTTGTAAGTAGAACTTTGAGCATCAATGAGACACCCTCGTACATCCTCAGTTAAGCAACCTTAAGCGGTTTCGAAGACTCGAGATCCGACTAGAACGCTTCTGGACTCGTCGATTAGAAAATAAGGGCAGGGAGAGCCGACCGACAGGGGGCGATGAGTCAACCGCGGGATGGCGAATCTTCTTCAAACTTCGAGGCAATGTTTTAGCGTCTTATATTAAATATCAGTTTTTTAAATGTTTCTATAAATTCGTCCAAGATCAAAATCATTTAAACTTCACCAGAATGTTTCAGCAGTACTTGACAACACCTTGACGTATAAAATTCTATATTCGCGATGATGTGATGTGATGGTTTTTTTTGCAGTAGTATCTAGCACACCATATTTGAATAAGATTATATATATATTGTATTACCTATTTTCTGATAGTGTTGATCTTCTCAAAATCACTTCATTTTCTGGTGGCATAGCTGGATTCTTCAACGAAGATTCTCTACTACGTAGTTTTTCTCTTTTATACCAAGGATAATCTTTCCCGACCAGCTTTTGGGATTTGAATCGCTGGTAGTAAGTTGTCGTTATAGCCACCTTAGCCAAATTTATGATCATACTCGCTATTTGGACATTCTCTATATTCAAAAAACAGCAGAAATTATGTTACAAAGAAGGAACATTATTTTTCTACGTATTCCACGCAGTGGCGTATTGCCTTTTCACTAAATATATGCCAGAAATGTAAGTGCTTTAGAAAAAAGTTTTATGCATGTACGGTAGACTGTAATCTTTGATAATTTTGCACGTATCTGGCTTGAAATGTGGGAATCGTTGTTTTTTCTGTACTTGGCACACAAATAGCTATTACCTGTTATCTGTACCTGTTTCTTTATGCATAGTTTCACTATGTTTCATCAAGATATGCAATTGCAAAAGCACCTGCGGTAAAGAATGTAGATACGACTGAAGGAAAATGTAGAGTTCTATCGATCTTGGAGAAGTTATTATTGATATAGCTTCTTGAACAGATTCGTCGATTTTAGCTCTTGCACCTTCGATAGACCAGAAAATTCTTTCTGCAAATCTGTAAAGAATATAAAGGGCATTACAGAATGTTTCGCCATGAAAACTCAAAGGCACGTTGTGATAAGGATAAGAAGTTCATATAATACTGGGTCAGAAATACTCCCTCTCCATAAGGTGTTTAAACTTTTCTGTTATCTTTGCAAAAACCAGAGGCGTACCATCTATTGCTGACCATGAAGTTTAAAGATAAGGAGTTGTCCATTAGGGACGCAGGAAAGTAAACGTCAATTTGACATAGACGCCATCTTTGTTTTCTGTCACCGACATGTCATTTTGTTAGTTGAATATTTACCATTGACCGCTATGGAGTCGTATTCGATTGAAGACCGCATTAAAGTTACTCAAGAGCACTACAAAAATGGTGCAAAAATAAAAAACACGTTTCGCACGCTTCGTGAACATTTCGGTCGCAGCAACCGCCCAAACGAAACAACCATCGGTCGTCTGGTGCGAAAATTCGAGGCAACAGGTTCGGTGGCAACTCTGCCAGGCTCTGGCCGGCCAAGGAGCGTTCGCACACCGGAAAATATTGCTGTTGTGAAGGAGAGTGTGAGAGACGATCCGAAACAATCAACAACGCGTCGATCCCAAGAATTGGGCATTTCGAGAAGCAGTTTGCTCCGCATTCTCCACAAGGATTTGAATGTACACGCCTACAAGATCCAATTGACGCAAGAGCTGCGTCGGGCCGACCATTTTTCGCGCCGAACGTTCTCAGATTGGCTCCTTGAACACCGCCAAATTGATGCCAATTTTTCATCAAAAATCATGTTCAGCGACGAAGCGCATTTCACTTTGAATAGGACGGTAAACAAGCAAAACTGCCGCATCTGGGCGAACTTAAAATCCCCGTGAGTATCAAGAGCAGCCGATGCATCCTCAAAAAGTGACTGTGTGTTGTGAATTGTGGTCAAAAGGCATCATCGGGCCTTACTTTTTCGAAAATGCGGCCGGGACGCCGCACATACGGGTATTTCATCGATCTAGCTGGCCAAAATTATTTTTCCCGCTATTATGAAATTTTAAGGTTTCTTATGTTATTTTATGTTGAGATAAATAACTTGTGTCTGATAAGCTTTTAAAAAAACAATTGAGTGCAGATATTTTTTTATTTGCGAGGAACACTTTATTTAAATTCAATTAAAACAATATAATTAACTAGACCATGATTAGGGGCATGGTTCGTCGTCTGATTCATTCTCTTCTTTGTCTGTAAGCTCTTCTGAGTCTGAATTATCCATATTTGTGTTTGTATCGGCTGGAATGAACATTTCAATAGCTGCTTTCGAAAAAGGTTTTGATGATTTTGGTATTGTCGGTTTTAGGCTGGTTATTAATGGGTCGGAACTTAACAAAAGTCTATTCAAGATGTCAAGATTGCACTCTACTCTTGAAAATTTTCGTGCAAAGCTATTTCGGTACATCCTAAAATATTTGTTGCGGGCTTCAGCGGCCTCTTCGGATAGCATCCCGATTGGCAATAACGCTTTCTCCATAACTGTTGCCCCATGCAAAAGAATTTTATGCATTGTTGGGGTCATAGGATGCCACGAATATAAAGAAATATAAATATTTGCAGTTTCAAAACAATAGTCAGCAAATTTTTTTAAATCGACTTTGTGGCCACTTAAAATCACTTCCAAAATTATTTTGAGTCTATAAATTAAATTGAAATCAACTCCAATGATTTCACTTGCTTTTTGTGGCTCGGCAAAAATCGTCGACTGGTGTTGCCGTCATTGGTGTTACCAAAATTAGCTTTAGGTACATCTACTATTAAGCCTGTTTCTTCCCTAAATACTTTTTGTATTTCAACTTTTCTTTCTTTAACAACAGTCTTCGGATCTTAGCTGCCATTTTTTTTACAGGTAATTTGTAAGAAAGGTGTCATATACTTTCGAATAATCTGATTCTCGCATGCAAAATGGACAAACCAAATGATAAAGCGTCACTATCCACATCTCTCTTAATGGAAAGGTCGTTAAAAAGCTTTGGTGTTGCTCCACAGATATAACATTTCATGGTAGACGCTTTCTGTGTGGCAGCGTTGCACACCTTTCCATCTACCATAGTAAATGCCATGGTATATTTTACACTCGCAGATATCCCTTCTCTCGTAAATATGCTGTTCTCTAATGCATCAATTTGATTTTGAATGTATCTGATTTCATTGTTTGTAGTATCAGTAGTCTCTTTTATAAACCTGATCCTAATCGGACGACAGTATCTTGGAGATGATGGGGTTGGATTCTGCCAAATAATTTTCTTGTTTTCGCCACACACTAACTGAAGGGGAACTAGGCAACTTTGAAAAATATTGGAATCTGTGTCGTCATTGTTTTGCGTTTTTTGCTTAAACTGGGATTGCTGCGATCCATCGCAGCCCCATTTAGTTATCAGCTCTAATCTGTCACATTCTTTTTGTGTAAGGTTAGTTAAGGCCTCTTGCAAATATATCAAAAGTCGTGTTACTGTATGGTTTAGCAAGTGCTGCAGTTCAATTTCGGCGCATGTTTCACTTACATGATATGACTCTTTTTGCGGATAGCACTTACGTTTTTCCTTTTGCAATATGATATAACAAGGGTAATATTTCTTATTTGAATCTCGTATTACTTCGTACTGTTTTCTGGAAAGATCCGCTTCCACAAACATTGATAACGAACGAAGAGGTGTAAGTTGTGTTGCGTTGACTTGCAAATGTGTTGCATAAGCTTTTTTGTACTTAGTACCTCGTTTTGGAGACTTAACTAATTCAGTGAGAACTTGTGATGCGTCTCTATTCCCAAAACTCTGCAAACTCACCTTTGCAGCATGAACGAGAGCCTCTTTACTTACTGTGTTTCGTAGTTACTCTTGTTTTTCTGCTTCTACTTCTCTCAGATAACTCACTAAATGGTTTTAATGGTCGACCAACACGTCCATGGGAAGATTTAGGTATCTGGAATGTTCCTTGTAGCCAATCAGCATTCTCTTTTAAGAATTTGACTTCTTGCCTCTTACCTTTTGACCATCTTCTTTTAAATTCACTTTTTATATAAGAAAATTTATGCTTCAACTCTCTTATATTTGCTCTTGACTATAATCATTTCCAAATAATTTAATTTTTCTTCTAAATTCCGTATGTTCTGTTCCTGCATTTTATCGTATTATCTTTTTCTAGATATTACTCTGTAGTTTGAGCCACTTGAAGTATCTAAAGCAAAATAAAAATTATATTAAAACTGAGTACTTTTAATGCTGCACTATTCGCTAAGTACGACTACTTCCAAGAAAATGTAAATATAACGAAAAAGAGCAGAAAAGGGCAGCTGATTTCTTTATTGTCGTATTACAAGAGGTCTATTCAGTAACTTTCAATGAAAAATACAACCGGGAAGGACCCTGACGTATAACTAATTTCTTAGATAATCAAAAAATAAATAAATAAAACTTAAGAACAATAGTACATACTTTCACTAGGCTATTTATGAATCTCTTTCAACAAAAATAATATAAAAGATTCAAAAAATATGCAGTATTACCTCTATTTTCAGGATCCATAATTATTTGCGTAATATTAATCACTCAGTAAATAGTATTCGATGTCCAACTTAACGATCACACTTGATAGATATAAGGGACGAATGCGCTATGAACGACGGACAAGTTTAGACTTGTTGTTCCAAGCGACGGTAATCGCGAGTATGCGGGCAAGGGCCTCTATGATGTGCAGCAACTATCTGAGCACTAACACAGGCTGTTTATTTATACCTAAAAGATATTTGACAAAATTGACTTTTGGCCAGCCAAATTGGTCAAATACCCCTATGTGCGCCGGTACCGTCAATTCTGAGCGATATCACGTGATGATAGAGGACTGTTTTTTGCCGCAACTTGAAGGAAGGGATATGGACGATGTTTATTTCCAACAAGACGGTGCAACATGCCACACAACCAACGTCAATATCCATCGATTGCAGTCCTTCTTCGGTGATCGCGTGATTTCGCGCAGAGGAAATGTGCCATGGCCACAAAGATCGTGCGATTTGACTCCCTTGGACTTCTTTTTATGGGGATATTTGAAAAGCAAAGTCTACGTCAACAAACCAGCCACCCTCCAAGAACTCAAAAACAACATCATGGCCGAGATAAATGCCATAGAACCGACCATGTTGCAAAATGTCATTGAAAATTTCGACCATCGCGTGGACGTCTGTAAATCCAGTCGTGGTGAACATTTGAGCGATAATATTTTTCATACATAAATGGTATAAATGAACCTTCAAAATAAAGTACCCAACTTGATTTGAATATCAATCTTTCTTGTTTTAATATGCGTTTACTTTCCTGTGTCCGTTTTGGACAACCCCATAGAACATGATTGATAGACGAGGGCAGATATAGAAGCCAAACCGCGGCAGCTACGAGGAACCGGATGAGCGCTAGGGCGTTTCTTGTACGTCAAGGTACAGTTCTGTGTCCCCAAGCAGTGATAACCACCAGGTCTCTCGTCAGATAGGAAGTCGCTGCTAAACTTCTTCTTTATAAGTTTACATGCTGAGTCTGCCTTTATGTATGTCCCTTAAAATATTCTGGACACCCTATAGATGTGTGATGAGATTCGATATTCCCTAAGAATGTGGCTATTCTATATAAAGAGTATCGATATGTTTGAGTTTTATTTGTTCCGATTTTTATAATAGTTCTTCCTTACCTCCACATACTCCATGCTGGAAAAAACAAATGCTGTGCAGTTTTCATCCAGAACCAAGTAAAATTGTCTCTTCCACATCCTTGGAACTCGGGCCACAGCTCCCAGTTTGAAATGACAATAACATAGCTACAAAGTGCCGGTAAATACATTATGAACAGGGATAGAGACGCCCAAATGAAATCTTCATTTTGCAGGTGACTAAAACACACTCCGGCGTCTGTAGCTATAATAGATATATACAAGATACACGCACAGCTAGAAGGAACAAGGTGGTTCACAATAGCACTTTGATGCGATGTCAATTCGTAACCAAGGATATAGTTTTTGTGTAGGTCGCGTTCTTTACCCATTCTGATTGTAGATTACATTTCAAATATCGTACTTGTGGGAATAGCAATATGTCTGTTTATATTTGTCTTATCTTATCAGTGTATCAGTGGGTAAACCTTTGTGAATTCGTCAAATGAATCATAGGATGTATTTGTGTGCATATACTGCTAATGTTTTAAGCTATATATATATATATATATATATATATATATATATATATATATATATAACTTGAGACGTGGTCATTGTCGTCTAGACCAGTTAGGTGAAAAATTAAAGCTTACGCCTTTTGTTATAATTAATTTGTGCAATCATCAAGTGGCTTCACGATGTAATGCTCTAATGTCTTTTAAATAATTTTTAATCTGTTTTTAACTTGTTCTTGTCATATTGTATATAATTTTGACCATTGTACAACTATCCAGCTCTCACCATGTTACTGGACGTTTCCCTCATCCTATACGTAAACAACAATTAGCAACATCCTCACATACTACTGTAAGTTGAGTCAATTTAAATTCATTTTACACCTTTGTTGCTACTGTTATCATTGTAATTGCAGCTCCTGATGATGATGGCAAAGTCCATTGAAAGCTAGAGAGAATTAAAAAAGTATAAAGAGTCCTCTTTGCTTAAATTTTGTCGAAGTACCCAACAAAAGGCGTAAGCTTTAATTTTTCACCTATATATATATACAGGGTGGCCAAACACGTGACGTCATAAAAAAAAATTAGATTCCCGATTCCCCACATCGAGAGGAACCCAAATCACCCCCATATATATGGTCCGATTTTGTTTAGTTTAGGAGTTATGATTTTTTTTCGGATTTTTCGAGAATTTTTGAGTTCTGTGTTTATTTTTACCATAACTTCGTTAATAATTGTGATAAATGCCTGCTTTTTTCACGATTATGTAGCTAAGACCTAAGGCTTAACTATCATATAATCATTCAAGTCATGTAACTAATACTACTTTTTAATTTTTTTCAAAATCTTCGAACATAACAAAAAAGTAAAAAAGTGCAACAACTTTGAACGTTTATAAAAAATTGAAAAAACATGTTCTTACTATTCGTAAGTATCTTAAAAACTTCCTTACGGTATCAGCTATTTACCGTAAAAATTTCATCAACCTAGCTTTACTACATGCTACCGTAATTGTGGCTCAAATAGAACCGAACCCAAAATTGGATAACCCTCTGCTCAATAGAAATTGTTAGTTTCGGAAAAAAAATTTGCAAAAACCACAAAAACACGTTTGATTTTTACTGAACAGCAGATTATTATTCATTTATGTTATTTACAAGAGGTTTTCAAAATGTCTGCCTCTAACAGAAATGCACAGTGTACACCTACGTATGAAATTTTGTTTTAAATCTCTAAATGCTTGTGTGTTGTTTTTCAACACATGTGTCGCTTCTTGAATTTTGTTCCTCAATGAATTTTCATTTGCACATTCTTGGGCGAATGTTATGTCTTTAAAATATCCCCAAACAAAAAAATCAATGGGGTTGAGGTCAGGGGAGCGTGGAGGCCATCGTATCGGTCCGTTTCGTCCGATCCATCTGTCTGGGAACCTTTCGTTTAAGTAGTTTCGCACGATCGTTGCGTTGTGGCATGGTGCACCATCATTCTGGAACACCATGTTCCGTCTGGCTTCCAGGCTTGAATCTTCCAGCAATAATGGTAGGCTATTTTCAAGGAAGCTTTTGTAGGCTACCGAATCCAACCTTGACGGCAGTTCAAATGGACCGATAAATTCCATATTGAATATTCCTGACCACATGTTCACACTAAAACGGTGTTGAAATGTCGACGGCCTTGACTGGTGGGGGTTTTCAACAGCCCAAGTATGTAAATTATGGATATTGAATATCCCTGTTCTTTCAAAACGTGACTCGTCAGTCCATAAAATTTTATCAAAAAAATCGGGATCCTCTCGTTGTCTTCGCAGCATTGTCTCGCAGAAATCCACTCTTAACTGGTAATCTGAAGGCATCAACGCTTGAACTCTTTGAACATGATAGGCATGATAACCTTCTTCATGAAGAATATTTTGTATCGATGTTCGTGGTATTCTAAGGTTTTGTGCCATAGATCTCGTACTCGTTGAGGGATTCCGGCTAATTTCTTCAAGTACTACTTCTCTGCGATCCGGATCAGCTGTAGGATATCCTTCATTGCTTCCTCGTCCTGGAATGCGGCCTGTCATGAAAGTGTTATGTGTGTTAATAAAAACACGGTGGTCTGGGTAATGCTCAGGTTGTGGTCCGCCTCGGCGTATAAGTTGTTCCCGGTCCAGCTGAGCTGCTAAAGCGCCGTTGCCTTGAGCAACGCCATAATAATAATGCATTTCTGCATATTCACGCAACGTATAATGCATCACAAACTTCTTAGCAAACAAAGTCCAAATCAGTATGCAAAGCAGAGTCCCGGAATATCCAATTTTTTAGAGCACGAGGTTTCGGCTGATATGGCCTCTTATTTCGTCTGCAGGTGACTTAGCCTTTCGGGGTTATTTATACCAGAACGGCTGACGTGTCCTGTGCCGTAGATGACGTGGCTGGTCGGTGGTGATGACGTGTCCTCTGTTGGTTGCGAGACAATGCTGCGAAGACAACGAGAGGATCCCGATTTTTTTGATAAAATTTTATGGACTGACGAGTCACGTTTTGAAAGAACAGGGATATTCAATATCCATAATTTACATACTTGGGCTGTTGAAAACCCCCACCAGTCAAGGCCGTCGACATTTCAACACCGTTTTAGTGTGAACATGTGGTCAGGAATATTCAATATGGAATTTATCGGTCCATTTGAACTGCCGTCAAGGTTGGATTCGGTAGCCTACAAAAGCTTCCTTGAAAATAGCCTACCATTATTGCTGGAAGATTCAAGCCTGGAAGCCAGACGGAACATGGTGTTCCAGAATGATGGTGCACCATGCCACAACGCAACGATCGTGCGAAACTACTTAAACGAAAGGTTCCCAGACAAATGGATCAGACGAAACGGACCGATACAATGGCCTCCACGCTCCCCTGACCTCAACCCCATTGATTTTTTTGTTTGGGGATATTTTAAAGACATAACATTCGCCCAAGAATGTGCAAATGAAAATTCATTGAGGAACAAAATTCAAGAAGCGACACATGTGTTGAAAAACAACAACACAAGCATTTAGAGATTTAAAACAAAATTTCATACGTAGGTGTACACTGTGCATTTCTGTTAGAGGCAGACATTTTGAAAACCTCTTGTAAATAACATAAATGAATAATAATCTGCTGTTCAGTAAAAATCAAACGTGTTTTTGTGGTTTTTGCAAATTTTTTTTCCGAAACTAACAATTTCTATTGAGCAGAGGGTTATCCAATTTTGGGTTCGGTTCTATTTGAGCCACAATTACGGTAGCATGTAGTAAAGCTAGGTTGATGAAATTTTTACGGTAAATAGCTGATACCGTAAGGAAGTTTTTAAGATACTTACGAATAGTAAGAACATGTTTTTTCAATTTTTTATAAACGTTCAAAGTTGTTGCACTTTTTTACTTTTTTGTTATGTTCGAAGATTTTGAAAAAAATTAAAAAGTAGTATTAGTTACATGACTTGAATGATTATATGATAGTTAAGCCTTAGGTCTTAGCTACATAATCGTGAAAAAAGCAGGCATTTATCACAATTATTAACGAAGTTATGGTAAAAATAAACACAGAACTCAAAAATTCTCGAAAAATCCGAAAAAAAATCATAACTCCTAAACTAAACAAAATCGGACCATATATATGGGGGTGATTTGGGTTCCTCTCGATGTGGGGAATCTAATTTTTTTTTATGACGTCACGTGTTTGGCCACCCTGTATATATATATATATATATATCTCAGGCTTGGTTATATAGGATGTCCTAATAAGTATAGCGAGATTCTATTTTATGGGAGTTTATATTACCAGAATGTATATAGTATAGAGAGAAGAGAGTATAGAAGTTATATTTTCATTAAGTATTCATGAAACGCTCTTCTTAGCTGTTTCTGCGTATAACCAGTCTTTGACTGTTATTTTCAGTAACCTTTTGGCAAAATTTCACCAATAACTTGAGATGTGTTTTGCTTCAAGTCATTGATCACCTGCGGATAATTTGAATAGTCTTTTGCTTGAGAAATCGACAAAAAAAATATTTTATTTTATTACCATTGTGACAGACCACGTGGCGATCAGGAAACCATGACTGATAATTCGAAATTTTCCTTGTCGACAACACGCGGTCCTACCCTGTCGAAAAAACATATTGCTGAGGTGCAAATTATGCAACTGGTCCCACGAAAGTCAATAATTGTGGTGACGCTTACCGTAAACATTTACCTCACGACATCATCGTTATTTTTATGAAAAAGGCATGGCATTCACTAATCGTGTTTATACAGGGTGATCCAGATTATTATTTCTACTGTCTAAACGAAATTGGACAATTACCATTTTTTGGAAAATACTGCTACTTGAAAATTAGATGCTTTAGCGTTCGACTCATTGGTGATAACCCACCTGACGTTCTGGTTCCCTTGATACTGAGTAATCTCAATAACTGTTATACGGATTCCAACAAAGCTTCGAATGGATTATTGTACGGCCACAAGTTTGGAAATGGGCGTGAGAACACTAAAGTTAGTAAATAGAAAAGAAAGCAGAATATCCACTCTTACAGCTTTTTCAATGTGGATGAAAGCAATCACTTCGTTTTTCAAAGACCAGAGAATATAAAATAAAGTAAAAAATTGGACCGATGTTGGAACAAGGAAGCCATACTTTTTGGGTATAACATGGCCATAAAAATTATAGAACTCAAAAAACTTTCGTAATTTGTGCCTTTGCTCATTGACGTGGGACGTAAAACCAAAAATCAAATGTGTGTTGTATTGTCTTCTTTTTGGTACTGCCGACTCATGAATCATGCAAAAATATTGAATAGATATTCTCCAATAATTACACCAAGACCACAGATGTTCAATAAAAATAACACCTCGCGTCGTTTGAATTCTAACACAGCGTAACTCAAAAACAACTTTGTAGGAGAGCAAAAATAACGGTGGGTCTTTCGATTCGCTATCGAACGACAAGCGTATATACTAAGTGACATATAAATCCGAACACCCAGTTTAAATGGTTTTATTTTAATAAAAGTTGGTGAATGTATTTATCTTACTGTAAATAACAAGTGAAAAAATTTTCAACCTTATCAGTTGGACATTCCGGTTTTTATACTGCTTTTTTTTAATTCACTAACGCGCTAAAAACGATTTCAGCCTCAGTAAAGAATCAACGTTGGCGGATTTTGGTTCTTGACATCCTTTACGATCGGTTACGATGCCTAGAGTACGGAGACCTGTACGATTTCGTCAACTTAGTGAGTTCGATAGGGGCCGTATAGTGGGACTTCGGGAAGCTGGACTTTCTTTTCGGGCAATGGCAGTTAGAGTGCAAAGATGTGTAGATACTGTGGTTAGGTGTTGTCAGGCATGGCTTCGAGAAGGCCGTACGCAAAGAGCAAGGGGCACTGGACGCCGCCGTAGAACAACAGACCGTGAAGATCGCCGCCTAAGATTATTGGCCTTAAGGGACCGTTTCTCCACCACCAGGTCCATTGCAAATGAATGGTTTGCAGAACACGGAAGACCTATTGGCATGCGAGGTGTTTATCGACGAATGAGAAGTTTTGGCTTGTTTTCATACCGGCCACACTGGGTCCTCCCTTTAACTCGAGAACACCGACGTAATCGCCTTGAGTGGTGCAGACAACGGTCACTCTGGGATCAGGAATGGAACAGTATTGTCTTTAGTGACGAGTCTCGATTTTGTTTAGGTATGCACGATGGTCGTGCCAGGGTTAGAAGGCGACGTGGTGAAAGGAGGAATCCACAGTTTTTTGTTGAAAGACATGTTCATCACACTGTGTTGGGGGTGCTATAGCTTATGGTTCCAGGTCACCTTTAATCTTCATCAGAGGTAACATGAACGCGCAGCGTTATATCCACGAAGTTCTAGAACCCCATCTTTTACCCTATCTTGACACCCTGGCAGATCCAACTTTCCAACAAGATAATGCCCGACCACATGTTGCAAGAGTCACAATAGACTTCTTTCAACATAATGATGTCATATTGTTACCATGGCCACCAAGATCTCCCGACTTATCCCCAATTGAGCACGTGTGGGATATGATGGGTAGGAGGTTGCTCAATTTGCAACGTCCTCCTCAGACTCTAGAAGCACTTCGAGAGGAGTTGGTGGTTGCCTGGAATGAGATACCACAGGAGGACATTAACCACCTGATCAGAAGCATGCCTAGGCGCGTTGGAGAATGCGCAGCACATCGGGGTGCATCCACACATTATTAAAGGTCAAAGGGCTTTAAAGCAGTGCAATCATTTTGAAATTTTTATCATTTACTTATTATGCTTCATTAAGTACTTATACAAAATTTTATTAAAATAAAAGCATTTAAACTGGGTGTTCGGATTTATATGTCACTTAGTATATCTTATAATCCTACATGTTTGTCTGGCCGCCAATGAAACCTCATATGCTTGAAATACTATCTACTGAGGACGTTAAGGCAATCACGGTTAGAACTTAAGCAACGATATCTGAAATTCCAAATATGTGGAATAATACTCGCCTTTACATCATTACCGGAGCATCAAAATATCAGTACCCCACTTCCTACTTGTTTTGCGACACGTGAAATATTTCTATTCTGCGGTGACCTTCATTATCTGGATGTATACCTTCCTCCTCACTACCTGCTATATCACAAACACAACAGTTAAACTCCATGTAGGCTTTCGGATTCCACAATATCACTTCAGACACCTCTCCAAAAACTGTTTTATGGACGGAGTGTCGCTTTTCTTCTATAGCCCATATTATTTTGCCACTACCTAGATGCTTTTTGTACCACCTTGTTCGCTAATGCAACGTTTCAATTCGGTAGCTTTTGAAGACTGGAGAATGTAAGAGATTTGTGCAACTTGGATCGCTCATTTTTGTACGTTCCTACCTAATTACCACCATCAAAATACGAAAAACGGCATATTGGGAACACCTGATGAGGTTTAAAGAGTATTAACACCTGAAAGCTATGATTCAGGGACAAATAGAGGGGAAAAGGAGAATAGGAAGAGGCCAAGGGATGAATACACTTTATGTATACAGCACATAATAGCGAGTATTATGCCATATTAGTCACCAATCTCGAAGGAGGGGCAACAATAAACAGAATTAACTATACCTACTTTTTATTGGAAAAAATATTTACAATATTAATCAAGTCTATGAACTACTATTTGGCTGGTTGAAGTCCTTGAAGATAGATTGAATGACTTTCCAACATCTCTGAAATTGGTTCAGGTTTGTTGTATTCTTTGTCATATTGTGGTCCAACAGTCCAGAGTGAATCCAAGTCATAGCGCCGTCTTGCATTTTGAGAGAATATATGAAGAGCAATATTTCCTACATGAAAAAAATATATGTACAAAATTATTCCAACAGTGGTAGCGATAAACAAAAACTCCGCTTATTTGAAGTTTATAAGTTGATGTTTGCCGAGAAGTAATTTTATTGTGATCTGGATGAATAGTGCGCAGATTCTGGATCTAACATTAATTTAAGGACCATCGCGGCAGCGGCATATACAGGGAAAACCAAATTTGTCTGACAGTTAGAAAGAGATAAAACTCGGCTGGAGAGTGAAGGTCATCACCACATTGCCTAGCAACGGTAGTGCAATCTGTCGCGCTGCTAATATGTTAAGCCAGACAATGTTCACACAGGCTTTTACAATAGGTTAGGTTACTGTCAAACCCAAGACGTTCTTTTGGAAAATTTAATTTAAAATTTTTTTTTCATCTTTATTAGAATTATTTATTTCAATTTTGATGCGACTTAGTATTCTAATTTATTTTAGAATTATTTCTGATTTCCACTGATGGTGATAAAATCAACACATCCTGAGTTATTCATATATTTTGGGACAGTGAGCGGTCGGAAAATGTTACAAATACCATAACACAATACAAATTATCACTGCCTGTGTGAAAACTATTTCGAAACAGGATGACAATCGACAATCTATGAGCATGGAGGTGAAAACCTTGCCTTGGAATGTATGAGATGCGGTGTTGCCAAGCGAATCAATGATACAATGTTGCAGAATTTGTGGCGAATCTGACCTTTCATTTCGACCCAAACTCCGACATCGATCCCAAACAGATTCGACACAATTCACAATTCAAAAATGTGTACGCTCAAAATAAAACCATTATTTGAGAATAAACTAACGCATATTTTCAACACGCATCTTAATTCAAGAAACTGGTGTAAGAAATTGGCCACGCGGCAGACTGCAGCGTCAGCGTTGCTAGGCAACGCGGTGATGAGCTTCGCTATCCAGCCGGCTTCTATCTGTTTCTAACAAGCCATCAGACAAATTTGGTTGCCAGTGTATAAGAAGCTGAATATTTTTCGAGGGTTTTTGTGAGAATATTCTGAAAAAGTAACTGTGATCTGTAATAAAACTCGTTTCCTGGGTAATTCCGACGCCGTCTAGACACTAGGACTCGCAGGAGGTCCCAAGCGACCCATTTATACCTTAAATTCGGCCCGAAAATACTTTAAGATTCTTTGAAAGAAATATTCGAAATCTGTGCCCCAAAATGACATCAGGAGCAGAAAATAGAAATGTTGACCTACAAAGTCTATTTCTACATTTCCTTAGGTTGCCTATAAGAGAAATTTTAAAATTTCCTAAGCAACTCTGAATGAAAACTCGTTTTTAGTATAAACCAAGATTTTGAATTCATTATTAATGTGGAGCTAGGACTCTAGTGATCCATTGTATACCTCATTTTCAGTCTGGTCAAATTGAGCGCCAAAAATTACGAATGTGACAGAATTTTATTCTTGCTTTCTGGATAACAACTCGTTTTCTGGATAAATCAAGCACGTACATTCCAAATATGTCAGTTTATTGGCAGGACAAACAGGCAGTCCCAAACAAACTATTTGATGCCTCAAATTCAATCCCATGATTTTGCTTTGTGTACTCATCTATGTCCATTGCCCAAAATTACCTGTTTATCCAAAGTTTCATTTCCTTGAACCAATGGAAGACAAGGACTAAGGTTTTGCCCAACAAAATCTTATATTTCTTGAGATGACCTGTTGAAAATTTTTCAAAATCCCCTGCATAAAATCATTTTCTTGCTGAATAGCATATATTCTGATTCTGCTGCAGTCCCACAGGGAATCACAAGTCACAAGCTTATCATTTTATGCCTAGAACTCAGCCCTACTATATTTGACAACCATCATATTCAAATGCTGTCTCCCAAATTACTAAGATGTATCAAGTTTCCTATACTTGCAACAACAGGAGGCAAAAATAAAATTGTTGCCATACACTATTTTCTCAATTTATTTAAAACAGTGAAAGCTTTTGAGACTTGCATCCATATCACAAACAGTAATTAAAAATCAGCATTTCTGCGAGAAAAAAATATTCCATACCTAAATCTATAGCTATCCAATCCTTAGAATCTTCTCCTTCAACTTTTGGTATCAAATCAGTTTCATGCCTCTTCTGCTTGTAAACCTTTTTAACAAATTGTGCTAAGGCATTCATATGCCTTTGAGATTTTCCACTAACTATGCACATATAATCTACATATTTTATTCCATCTGGAACCTTGGCAACAAATATATCTATAGCATTTTCACGTTTCAGAACTTCTACTAAGTCTTCTAAATCATAAACCCCTGATACACCTCCTACAAAATATTAGAAATAAGATATAAGCTCAATGAATTCTCATTCTATTTTGTGTATATATAAAAAAAATAGGATTTGATGGCTTTTCAATTCCCCCTTACGTTCCAAATTCAGCCCATCAAATGGATCTTCTTCCTCAACCTCCTCTTCCATATACTTTAGCCTTTCTTCATATATATCAAGGATCTCCTTGGCATCTTCATCCTTGAAAGGTTGGTATTTCACCCCAGCATCTCCTAGTGATACCTTTTCTGTTTCTGATGTAGTACTTTTACACCTAATTATATTATTACACTGACTTTGTAATTTACACAAACATCCCGTACTTTGCAGCCTAATTCTTCTTGCCAGACGCAGGGTTAACATGTTAAAAATGCCTTTCAAAACTCAAAATACTAGTATTTTTGGATTCAAAACACTGGAAACTAACCTGAAAGTGTGAGCATGACAAACGTCAGTCACAAAGACTCAAAAGAGTCTGTTTTCTGTCGATGTGCTCCACATAACAACAGTTAACGTTAACAGGTAGCGCAACTAGTTAGTTTGGTTAGTGGTCAAGAGATGACACTATCATCGCAAATATGATTTTTTTCATTTGAAATGTCAACATACATTTTGTCAAAAGATGAGGCTGCTTTTTGTGGCTATGTTGCCACGCTTAAGATTTATCCGACAATTAAAGAATTATTGGGATCCGCCGTTAATGAACGTTTCTACGAAAGTAATCAATCAATGAGATTGCCTCACGTACAGCTTGAAATTAATACTAGACGCCTCATGTATAAAAAGTGTTATTTTATTTACTATCAGCACCAACTTTTTTCTTAAGCTTAGCCAACCTAGCCTGTTTCTTCAATATTTGGTTCACTTTTGCTAATTCCGTAAGAGTTCTCTTTATATACATTATTTGCTCTTCAATATTATCTTTCTTAATCTTCATAGGCTGTCTTTTGCCTTGAGCCATATGTGTACAGAGGTTCCATATGGAAGTTTTTACTTGGTCTATCTCGCTCATGCGTTGGATCTAAAAGTTTTAATGAAAAATGTAGAAAAACAATGATTAGTGAAGTTGGACCGGGACTGACAGCATTGTTCTTGATTTGAATTACAAGTTGTTCACTTTCTAGCGATTTTATGTTCGCATTTTCGTATCGAGCTTGTAGGTTGGCTATCTGGTTGTTCAGGCCCATTATTACAAAGCTCTTTTCTTCAATCAGCTTTCCCTAAAATGTAGAGCATATATTGCGCGAGATATTCTTCCGAAAAAAATTGACCTATGATTACTTCCCACGCCTTTAAAATAATGATTGACCAGATTTCGACATACGGATACAGTGGAGGATCTAAGCTCCTCAGCAGGGGTATGACATAAAAAACGATTTTTGTCATTAAAAATCGGTATAGTTGTAGTCACCAGTCTTAGCGGTTACGCCATCAACGCCATATGAAATAAGTAAACAGATCGAGTCTCCGTACCATGGGCAGAACATTGGGCAGACTAATCTTAGGCGATGGAAGCGACAAAATATTTACATACATAGAAGCTTCCACTCAGTGCGGAATTCACCTCAAAATTAATCCGTGTACCCAGTCAAAAAGCCTAGGTGTTTTTTCTTCTCTTTCCCTTTCTCTTCTTCGTTGATTTTGTCTGGTTTCTGGGCAACCAGGACTGACAGATAAAAATTTTGGAAAATACATTTTTTTGTGGTTAAAAATTGATTATTAATTGTGAATTTTTTGAATATCGACCTAAAAGGGAACGAATGCCACCATACCATATCGCTTTTGGCATTTTCAAGCAATCTTAGATTTTTTTCTTGGAGCTGCGCCATGAAATTTTTTGCGCTCAGCAGAGCAAGATATCGGTTTATCATTGCCTGTACTGAAGTGAAATCCGAACAGAACTCTACGACCTGGTCCAGGTACTCTTCGTACACGTGGTATTCTTTTATTTTTGCGTCCATGTACAGTTTCGTCTGTTTTATTTCTCCAGTTTTTTGTTGGTAATCTTCGATTCCAGCTTGTTTCGCTGCAATTAGTATTTTGTCGTCTTTGATTTTCTTAACCGCCCTGCTGCGCTTATCTGCATTTTCTTTAATAAACTAGAATATACAGGGTGTTAAAAAATGTTTTCAGGAACATTTAATGGCATATTCAGCAAGTGGAGATATGAAAAATGCTCATATAAACATTTCGCTTGATACTCATTTCCACGACACGGACTTCATACTTGTTCATTTAGTGGAATATTGTATGACTAGACCTCTGTACTGATTCTTAAAAAGCTAGTCACAGACGGAAAACAAACAGATCCTATTCAGCAATTTTGAACTCATCTCAATATCACAAAGATAAGAGGGGACTAGCAAATACGGACAAGAGGACAAGTCTAAAGATTCTGTATTATGGTAACGAGACATTTTTGTTTTTGAATCCATGTTTAATAAGAACTTTTTCATAGTTTAATAGTGCAGGCTGACCTGATCAAACATGATAAAATTTTCTCTCAATGCCTTTTCTTTTTCGTCTAACTGTTGCCACTGTTCGTCAAGTTCTTTTCGCATCCTTATCAGTTCTTTCCTTTTACGCATTAAATTCGTCTCTGATCGGTGCAAATTGATTTGCAACAGAGCAAGATTGGCGGTTGGATCATCCTGACGAACTCTATCATGATCTGGATGTTCTCTAAGAAACAATACATCAGTAGTGAAACGATATAGTTTGAAATTAATTCGTTTATTTTCTACTTTCTAGAATAGTAGTTACATGACGAAGCTATGAACAAACATCTTAAACATACTAATTGATAATAACACAAACTTCATTGCATTTGTTAACTTATAGTCTTGAAAAAACAAAGCGCCCAACTAACAATTATCACTCCTATTAGAGTTGCAAGAATGTTTATACAGTATTCCTTAAACAGCATTGTATATGTATACTGTAAGAACATTGGCAAAACCCTCTTAGAACTGCCATACAAGCGGAATGGGCACACCTAATAGGACACTTCAGTAATTTAAGAGGTTGTATAAGGGCTGCAGGTAACAGTTATACAACAAAAGTGTAAGCCTCTTGGGTCAGTGCAAGATTCAGTTTTTGTCAACTATACAACTATTCTGTTACGTGATTCTACTTTAATGCAACCAAACTATTTCTTATTTATTGTATAGACGAAGAAGAATATATCACTAACACATTACAGTCATCTTGTTTACTTACATATGGGCCATTGTGAATTTTATACACAGGTATATGACAAACTTCTACACTGTGATATAGGGCTATTGAATTACTTGCGCAGCAAATTTTATTGTGATTATCGTGCAAATTAGTTACGCAATTTCTACGGGCTTCGTATTTGATTCATATTTTGATAATGATCGAAAGTATGTCTAGATTTTTAAGATGGAAAACTGAACTTATCTGCGTTAAATCTTCCACAAATCCTATATTTAGACACAATTACACTAATGTTTATCACTTTATATCTGTAATTTCGAACTGAAACATAATTATTTAATATTAAATAGAGGACTAAATGTTTGCCCAATATGGCGGGTGGTTGTGTATAATCATGGCATCGTCCATGTTGTCTTTAGGTTATTAGAATATTTTGGTGTTGCCTGCTGGTGTTATACCACAATTTGACAAATGTCTGAAATGAAATACTGACAGAGTCGAATGATTTACCCAGAATTTGTACCAGATCCATATCTTCTGTTTGAACAGAACCTTTTGAACCAATATACATGCGTTGTTTGTCTTAAAACATTGGTTATGGCATTTTAACAAAAATATGACAGCAGAAAGTTAGGTTATGGTGAAGTTGTATACCAACATATTTAGCATATGTACAGCCTTTAACAGTTACTAAACAACAGTTGTATAAGTGCTTCCGTTGGGAAAAATTTGTTGGCTAAAATAGTAAATTGCACAGCAAAACAACAAGGCTCGGGTTTGTTTTATAAACGTTACCATGGATGCCACAACACAACCATTTTGACTAACGTGCAAATATGCCGTATAAAATAGTTGTATAAACGTTTATGCAACAGTTAAAAATTTGCCCTATAAGGTGTTGTATAACTATGCTATAAGAATATTTTAAACACCTCACTTTAGAGCAAATATGTTGCAGAAAGCAAATTTGCATTCCACACAACATTAAGCCAGCATTTTGGTGTTCAGGCAACAACAACAGAGAGCTTTTATGGCTGAAAGGTTCTTTTACCAAAAGCTTATAACACTACTTTGCTAGTTGGGCGGGTACTTTGAAGAATGGGGTACGCAATTCAGCTGAAAAATATATTCGTTACTTACTTTTGCATTTCCGTAAATAATTTTGAAACTGTATAATCTTCAACCCGATCTTCGGGTTTGATTTGTCCAAAAGTCGATTTATCCATCTTTTATTCAGTTTGGGTTGCACACAAAAAAAAAACGTACAAAATCTCCGGTTGAAGGAAAAAAGTTTACGTGTTCGAGTTATGACAAACAGTGACATGTCACGAAAATGTCATAAAGATGTGCCAGATTTTGACATTGCGCTATTTGACGACAATACAAGGTATTACAAGAATATACAGAGAAATCCAAATATCATTGACGTTGGCAAGCGTTGAGAGACAGAATAGCTTTCAGCCAATGTCCATGCGTACTTGTAATTTCGTGGTACTGATATTGCGTAAAAGTCTGGTAAAACCTTTTTTCACTACTAACTTGAGAAATTTTAATTATCGCATCTTTATTGCATAAAAATGTTGATTGTGTCGCTTTAATGCCTCTTGTAAATTTCTATGTTCTGCAAGTAGATTCACGTCGAAGTGTTATATTTTCTAATGTGTCCAACCTTTTTGCACTGTGACATCAATGCGCTTTGACTATCAGTTTTATGAACATAATGTTATGAACATAATGTTTATGCATATATTTTAAGTTATCTTTATTCATGGATTTGTGATGCGAGGCCGAAGTTTTTAAGCTGCTGCTTTGTTACACACAAGAATTTAGTTTTGTCTAAGGTAGCTTTTTCCTTTTTACTTTGTTATTGATTTGTACTGATATAGTGATATTGCCTGTTATTGGATTTTGCATCTGCTGTCCAATAAAAATTTATTTAACACTAGGTATGAGTGAATGTCTGTATGCATGTAGAGCTTCTTCGGCTTGCAGGGCACACAACTGTCGCTGCTATTAATTCCTCTATCCGTTTTTGAATATTTCTAAGAATGATTGATAATTATGTCTATTTTAAAACTGGAATTATTGTTGTTGCTTGTATTTATTTGGCAGTCCCATGCTACTTGATAAATTGGAGTATTTGAAAGTGAGTAGCATTTTCTAGGTTTGTCGGACTCTACCATTGAGGCAGCAGTGTCTTACGCGCCGTTCTGTGATCCAGACATTTCGTGTGCTTTATTCGGACAATGTTGCCGGACGTTCAAAAAATTCTCAGATATGCTATGTTTCATTCAGACTTTCTGTAGTAGAGTGATACCTGGCCAAATCCTAGCAAGTCAACATATAGGATGAAATGATTTCAGAAAGACACTTATTGCGTTTTCGAATTTCACAATCGACATTTTTCATTTTTACGCCTATCAAAAAAGAAAACGATCAGAAAAAATCCTTGGTTGGTGAAGTATATTAAAACTAACAGGTGAGAAAATATCATACATACAAGAATATTTATGAAACGTTAAAAAGTTATTACACTTCACATTAATTTTTATTTCCAGTCATTTAAATTTTATGGAAATTTATATTACGATGTCAAGTAGAAACTACAAATCAGTTCCTAGATGTGAGGCAGTGCGAAAATGTTTTGTATGTGATGCATCATTCGTATTTTTTTGTGATGTGGCTTAATTATACAAAACGCGGGTGCGGAGCTGATTTCCCGTAATGATTCTCAAAGTTTTTGAAAACAAAAAAAATCGTAATGTATAAATGTGAACATAACCTCTCTTCAGAAAGGACAACACAAATAACTATACTACACAAGACCTTTAGATTCAACTAAGCTGTACTATTTGACGCAATTCCTTGCACAGAATATACTCTTTTCTCCTTTTCCATCGAACGAATTTTCGATTTAACCACCTCCAACAAACCCAAAGTATTCTTGATCACCTCCAACTGCTTAGCGTAGTCATCTTTATGCACAGGTTTCATTTTCCTTCGTTTGCAAATGTCTTTGTAAAGCAACCAAATTTCGTTT